AATTTTTAAAACATTTTCTTTTAAATTACCTATAAAAAAAAAAAAAAAAAAAAATGTGATATAAGTGTAAACATTAAAATAATATTAGTTTTGTATGTTAAAATAAAACTATTTTTTTTTATTCATATATTTTCAACAAGTTATAATACCTCAATGATTACTGATTATAATCATATAATATATCATGATAGAAATGTTAGTTAACTACAATATTACATAAGGAAGTTATTATTGACTATCGCATAATAATTTGAGTTATTGAATAAAGCAATAAAAATCAATTTCATAATTAGAATAGAAATTCATTTTGATAATTCTAATTTAATGTTCAGATTTTGAGTTAACCATCATTATATTCCAATAGTGAATTAGGATTAATACATAATATTTATTTGTATTTATTCATGTTAAACTTAATTCAATGACATCCAGAGAATATTTCGCAGTAATTTAATTATGTTATATAAATTAAAGTAATGATAAATTTTCACATTATATCCTTTCCAATGAGTAAAAATAAAACTAAAAATAAATTCTAGTGGTAATTTAAAATCAAGTAAGCTACTTCAACTACTATAGTACTTTTATAACGCTAAATATATATTATTAGAAATAGTATTATTTTATTTTACTTATTAATAATTTACAACACAATTAAGTACCTATTAGCCTAATTGTAATTATATTACATATATAAAATTAATAGAACCAAATTCAAGAAATACAAAGATTTCTCATAAATATTGTACAAACAGAACTTACTTGTGTTTGATTATCACCAAAATATTGGGTGGATGATATTGATTTAGCACCACCAAATTTTTTAAAAGCTTCATTATTTTCTGAGGATTGAGGCACAAAATTTGATCTATTATTTCTGCCTTGTCTTCTATTAGAATTTTCATTAAGCGAATCCCAATGATCATTTTCAGCTTCTTTGTTTACTTTTTTTGCTGGTTTAATATTATCCCAATCATTTTTTATGACATCAATGTTGGGTGGCGAATAGGATGATTTCAAACTTCTAATAGAATCATCAAATTCCATAAAATCATCACTGGTAATTTGACGACTTCTGTTCAAACAATAAAATGTAAAGAAAATAAAACTATACTTTGGTGAAAAAATGTTTGTAAGTTCTAACTAATTATATGCTCTAATGGCCAAAATTTGAAATTATTAAAATTAAAATGTTATTTATGAGTCTTAGAGATGTATATTACAAAACTAGTAAATGGAATTGGTGTAGAGTTTTAGTTAACTATTTTTGTCAGAAAATTGTAAATTAACTCAAGACTATAACAAATTAAATAAAAAAGAGAAAATTCATTTTTTTTATTTGGTTCTTACATTTTTACTGAAATTTTTAATAATAATAAATTAATGACAAATCCAATATTTATATCTTTMAATTTTAAATAGTAACATCATCTATAAATTCAATATTTACAGGCTTACACATTTAAATACTTGTATTTACAATTAGATGCATTTTTATTTACAAATCAAGTATAGAAATCTTACTTATTCATCATTTTTAAAATCAGTTCAGGAGTTTTAGCATCATCAAAACAATCATAGAATTGATCTTCATTATGATCTAATAAAGTTTGTTTTTTTACTTCTTTATCAAGTGTCATCATATCAGTTAATGCTGAATGACTAACAATACTATTAACAAAATAATTATAGTAATTACACAAATCTTATTTATTTATAGTCAAAATATTAAACTTACTTTTTTGAAGTAAATCCCATACCAAGTCTTTCTAATTGAGCAGCTTTCTTCGGGTCAACTTGTTTTAATTTTTCCTCTTCTTTACTCTTCTTTAAGCTTAAATCTTGATAGGCTAACCTCATTGATGACATCTGTTAACCATAAATCAATTTTTTTAACTATAAGTTTGGTATCTATAAAAATATATATTATTCAATTTTATATACTTGAGTTTCTTGGTCTTTATTGGATTTCTCTAAGTTTTCAGTTTTTTCTGGTTCGCTAAATTTCATTTTATCAGCTAATTCTGCTTCTTTTTCTATATCGGCAAAATTAGCATGCACTTTCTGAGCACCCATACCCAATCTTTTTCCTCCCAACTAAAAGCAAACATTTATTTGATTATAATATTCACTATTATGGATAATTTTTTCTAAATATTTTTTGTTCGTGTATAATTTATAAACCAAACAATATTGTCATATAGAATGTAACAAGAAGATCAAACAGTTACATACATTAAAATAACATTTAAATATAGTGATTTTTCTGGATACATCATGAATATTAAATAGTATTTTATAAATTCTGTTAACATATCCATAACAAGAATTTTTAAAAATTACAAATGTTTTCATTGAATAATGAACATTCTCTACAGTATTATTCTCTACCAAACATAAGTTACATAATTATCAAGTATAACTTTTTATTAAAATTTATTTGCAATCACTTTTGGCAAAACAAAAACCAGAATAATACTTAACTAATTTATCATGAATTTTTACCAAACTTGAATACTTACACCAGATCTTTTACTATGTGCTTGTCGTCCTCCTAATAAAGTTTTATGATCTATTGATTTTTGTGCTGCATCATTTAAAATTTTAGTACCTCCTAGAAGAGTTGTATCACCACTATCCTAAAAATAATAAACTTATCAATATTAATAATTATATATAAAAATATATATATAATTACACATACTGGTTTAGAAGAAGTAAATGACATGAAATTGTTACTCAAGTTGTCATTATATGAATTAACATTAGTTGTATGTTGTTCAAAGAAATCTACTGGTTTCACTTCAATAATTTCATGTGATTGGTCCAAAAATAACTGAATCAAATATAAAGGTTAATAATTTAAGCCCAAGCATACATATTTCGTATATACTATATATTATTCTTTCATGGATAAATCTCGCCTTAGTATAAGTAGTAAATGGTCAAAAATGTATGTAATATACCTTACTAGATACTTAGTAATCACATTATTACAATATCAAATGTACAAACCATTCAAAAATGTATTTATTATTATAAAAAAAAAAATAGCTTATAGGTAGTTTACAATAAGACTTTCATAGAATATAATAAAAAAAATTATAAAATACCTGTGTTCCATAAGTTTTCATTGCTTGTTTAGCATTTTGTAAAAGTTTATCTCTATATAGTTGAGCAGCTCTAGAATTATATTTTTGTTGTGCATCTTTGGATATGCAATTATGTTGCCTGAAGAACATTTCCTATAATAAATCATATATAAATTATAAGTATATGATGTTAAAATCTATAGACCTATAGAAAAATTAAAGTTATTACAGCGTTTGAATTTCCACCCAATTGCATTTGCCGCAATTGCAACCATGTCCAATTTGTGTCTAATTGAGTAGACCTTACAAAAGTCAAATGAACTCCCAAGCTCCTATGCACTGCAGAACAATCCAAACAAATAAACACACCATATGTAATACTCGACCATGTTGGATTTTTTGAATTACAGTCAAAACATGTCTGAAACAGTTGTATATTATGATTTACTATCAAAATTGAGGAACGATTAAAGCTACTTTATATGTATTTGAATTAGATAAGTAAACTGAATCAAAACTATGGATTTACTGGTACAAATTATAATTAATAACTAGCAGAAAAAAATACAATGTGAATATTATACTTTTGTAACAAATTTTTTCACTTTCTAATAATGTATAAGCAATAACCAAAATCATCTATAAACCTATAAGATATAAAAACTAAATAAGTAAAATAAAACTAAACGAGTCAAGCACAATATAAATTTAATTATTTAATACAATATATATACCTAGGAAAGGATCGAAAATACAAAACAAATTCTTTTAGAGGAATTCATTCTAATTCATGTATGTCATTAAATCAAATGTATATTATAATATATTTATGAAATTACTTATAAAATATCATATTTTTATTAYATTAATCAAGATCTTATGCTTAACTTACAATTTATTATTTACTCATATTATAATTATAAACATTATAGACTTTAATGCCTAGTAAATACTTATAGTAGGTAGAATATAATAGTATTTTTAATTTTAAGAATATTTACTTTATTGGCCGGCAGCGTTCTAAGGCGCTGAAATACAATTTCTATGTCATCGCTGTTAACTTTTGCTTCAGACATAATGTTGATATTTAATGCTAATAATTAAATAATATGTATTCAGCAAATGAGTGAAGTTTCAAAAGTGGTAACTACAACAAAGTTGTAAAATTATATTATTATAATTTATAATCATAACAAACACATAATAAATTCAATAATTAATGATCTACTGTTACCTGTAATTATGTAATATGTTAGTGAAAACAAAAAATGGTAATAATTTAAGATAATTTTAGAACTAAAAGACTCTTAGTGTAAGGCAGAATTAAGCAATAATCTCTTTTGCTATATTATTTTAGTTTAATATAAAAAAAAAACTTGAAAATTGTAAATTGTTATAGTTATAACAACACCTTTTTAAGGTAACTACTAAGTACTAACTAGTAAGCAGAAAAACTTAAGTAAGTGTCAACGTCAAGTGAGAACTAAAATTTGTTGATAAGACAATTTTATAATTGAAGATTACCGGAGATGACGTTTACCATGAATCATGATGATGTCATCAAAATATAAGTATATAACCACAGAATAGAATAATATATCAGAGAACTTTAAATTATTACTGAAAGTTTGGTACGATTGATCATTATCAATATTTGTTATCAAACACATGTCACTTGCAAGATTAAAATTAAAATTAAAATTTGAAAATTTGAAATTGAGGTAATGTTTTACAAAATATTAAATAATTATTAGAATTAATTTATAATTGTAATTTTCATAGTGTATTACCAGAATTATTGAAAAGAAAAACTTATTTTTATTTTATACTTATATAAAGAAATTATACGAAAACAAATTATTACATTTATTTTATTTTCACTTTTATCCAAGAACTATATCATAATTCGTTATTGTATCACAGAATAGATATAAATGTTCTTAAATAAGTAAGTATTGATATTTTTTGAATATTTAATAACAACTATAAACCTCATGTTTTGACAAATTTCGAACAGTAAATGTGTAGGTAGCCCCAAAATATACATATTAAACATTACAATAATGTTGTTCATTAAGATTAAGTATAAAAATATACTATATTTTACTAACACTAGTTAMAATTTCAGTTTAGATTATATTTAAACTATACTATTATTTTTAGTTTTTGAGCAGTGCAAACAATTTGTTTTTGTTTAGAAAAAATACTTCGAAAGTGTCGTGTAGAATTCACTTTATTACAAATAATACCAGTGATTCATGAAAAGAAATTAAAATTGGAGAAGTAAAAGAAATCTTTTTTTTTAATTTCCTATTCTTAAATAGAGTTTAAAAGGCTGGCTTAGAACTCGAGGGCTTTTGGGATAAGATTTTTGAGAATTTTGTTGGTTATAAGATCAAGAAATATCTAAAATTTAACAAAATTCAACAAAATTCATAGTTAAGCTTATAAAATTCAATAATACAGGTTTTTTGTTTAAAAAAATGAATTTCAAAATATTTTGTTAATTTTTTTCTTTTTTTAACAGGTAAAATGATATTATTTAAACGACTTGGAACAAATTTAAAAATAATTACCAAAATTCTTCACATGAAAACAAGATATAAAACCATAAATTATAGTGCTGTCTGTACAAAATTATATGAAATAAATTCTCTAAAATTGGTATTCCCACTTCAGCAATTTCTCAGGAAATATTGTTTTAATTCTTTTAGAGGAGATGAAACTGACAGTGATACTGAGGATATTGAACAAAAACGAGACATTAAAAATATTATATTACCCGATAATAATGATACCCTTGCTATACAAATAAGTGAATGCAAATCTTTGCAAGATATTTTTTATATCCTGCAAAACAGCAACAATCAATTGAATTGGAAAAATATCTCTATGGCTATTGCAATGGTTAGAGAACTTCAAATAATATATCAAAGAGTATGCATGTTTGAAAAGAATTTGAATTCTTATATCACTCCTGAAGATAGTTTTGAAAACATTTTAACAAATAATGATTTTTTGAACTTATTGAATTTAATGGAAGAACACTATAAGTTCATGAACAGCCAATGTTTATCTTACAGTTTACTGTGTTTACATAAAATAGGAGTTAATATAAATTGTACATTAAGTAAAAAACTATCATATAGACTACAAAAAATGTTGATGACTACTCCTATAGAAGAAATTGAACCTTGCATACTATCTAGATTTACAGTATCAATTGTGAGTCATAGAGACCTTTTGAGTCTGTATATCCTTAAAGACATTTGGCCAATAGTTTTAAAAAAACTAAGTAAGAACATAATTCATAAACTCCAAATTTAATTTATTAACTTATATTATTTGTTGTCTTAGATTTATGCAAAACTTATGAGGATTTAAAACATATTTCCATATGTTTGTACAATTTGCCTTGGTTTTTAAACAAATCTATTATGGATAAATATGTTACAATAGTTGAACATACTTTATTGAACAAACCACAACATGATGATAAAATTAAATGCATAGTGAAAGTTCTGAGATTGATAAATAGTCCTTACTGGATTAATCAAAACATTAATCTCACTAGATCTTTGTTGCTCGATTTACAAAGTGTTATTAAGCACATAGCACTTTATGATATGATACAGCTACAAATGGTATGAAATATTGGTATATATTTTTATCACATATTCAATCTAAAATCATTTTTAAAAACGAATAATTAACAATTGTTTAAGATTATCATGAAACAGTCTGAACCATATCAGTTATTTGAAGAAATACATAACGAGACATCTAAATGGCTGTCGAAAGCAGATGTTGATACTGATATCACTATACTTCGACTATTATCTTGTATAGTACCATCTTCATCTGCACCTCGAAGAAAAAATATAGAATCCTTACTTAGAAAACAATTTTTGTTAAACAATTCTTTTTCTCAATTATGTATTGGACCCTTATTCAATATTATAAGAAATTTAAAAACATCTGATTTGCATATTTGCAATGCTTATTGGTCAAGTGTATTAGATTGGTTAGTATCTGGAAAACCCTCAGTTCGTGAACATCATAAGCTATTACGAATATGTAACAGGTTAGCATTTTTACTTTACTTAGCTTAGTAACATAATCAGATTGAAAGTGGTGAAAGAGTTAATTATATTAGTATTCATGTCGTATGCGGTCTACCGCCCGTTTCTACTCGTCATATGCGGTCTACCCACATTTGTCGCCTATCACATAGTTAAAAATATGAATGAATACATAAATGTAGAATTACAATATATTTATTAATGTAGAATTTCAATGTAATGTTTAATAATACAAAAAATATATAAACATATGTAGATAAATTTAATTAGTGTATGTATTAAAAACGAACTGACAAAAAATATAAAATTATGTAGAAATATGCATTAATCAATTTAAATTAAGTACAATATAATTTCACATCTCTTAAAAAATAATCAAATGTGTTGTCATTCTTGATTTTTAGACGCCACCATTGTTCTGCCAAATACGAGGATGGAGATGTACCATGCATTTTTTAATAATTCAAAGTTTCAAACCAAAAAAAATATTTATAGATATTAGATATGCGACAGTAGACCGCATATGATGGCATGTTGAAACATACGTGGTAGACGACAAATGTACGGTAGACTGCATACAACATGAAAACATGAATGTTATTGTTTTTATACCTTATTAGTTATTACTTATTAGCAGGGCTCGTAAGTTCATACATCCGCATGTTTTTTCTGCTACACAGGAAACATGCTAACTGAGATACAAATCCATTTCATAACAGTAGTAACAATAATATAAAGTTTAATAGTGCATGTTTTGGGTGTTAAGGCATATTTAGCATATAGTCGATTTTTTAGAGTTGTTAGCGCATATTATTTCATGAAAAAATTTTTTAGACAAATATTTGAAAAGTTTCTTGTTTCTTATTTATTTTCCCATTTACAACATACCTAATAGTATTTCTATTAATTATTATTCTCCTGTGACTCCCTAGAATCCTAGCTAGTACATACTACATACCTGTTTAGATTATATGCGTTCCAAATTTTTTCATTGTAGGTGCAGAATAATGGTGTAAAAAAATTAGATAACAAAGACATATTATCATGTACTTCATAAGTACCTCTTCATTTTTATTTTTATTTTACTAATTAAATGTATAAAAATTAAAATTAATAAAACACTTTTAAAATTAATGGATATATTCTTATTATTTTAAAATTTGCTCATGGTTTTTTACATAATACATATTTCCAGTGCACAATTTAATAATTTTAGGGCATATAAATGCATATTTTCAAACTTTTTAGTGCATATTTTGCTAATTTTTAGGGCATGAATGCATGCTTATATATGCATTTTTTATTGCATGAACTTACGAGCCCTGCTTATTAGTTTAGAAGACTTGATTTTTTTTTTTTATAGATACATGAATTTTAATAACAATATGTCTGGAACATACAGACATTATAAATTTGAAAGTCAGATGATCAATTGGTTAAATGAAGAATTAGAGACAGGAATATCAGCAATAATTCCATCCAAGTTTAGTAAAATATTTTCATTTTTTATAAGCTACCCTAATGAAAATATTGGGTATGAAATACCTGAAATAATGGTAAAAAAAGTATTAGATACTGTTGGTCAGTATAGTGTTTATGATTGTTACATTATTAGTAGAGGTCTGAATACTGCATTTATTAATCGAAAGAATAAAACATCATTGCCAAAGTTCTTAGATCAATATGTAAGTAGTGTTAATTTATTATATTTTAAATTATAGTATTAATTAGTTTATATAATCATAATATAATTATATACCACCTTTGTACCAATTGCATTCAATATTTTTTTATTTATTTTTTCTAAATTATATAACTAATAAAAAATAAAAAAATAAAAATAAGTACAATCTTTTGTAATACATAATATATTATTTAAAAATAAGTAGGTATTAAGGCTAGGGTATACAATGTAATCACAATATTAGGTACTACTAAACATCTAAGCTGGGTGACCTTGTATTGAAATAGGGTTTAAAATAGGTGGTAGGGAGTACTTAATAAATACATATTTTCAGACCAATTTCAAATTTTTAGCTCTCCTGGTACGCGCATGAGCAATGCAATACAACTTACTTTTTTTAAATGGCAACCCAAATTTTATTATATTTTATCAACCATATTAATTAAATGACAAGAGTACAACAAAATAGTTATAATGATAATAGTAATATTAATATTTTAATAAAAAATAATATCTATCAAATAAATTTATGATATGAATTGTTCATAAAAAAAGTGTTTGCTATCATGTTCTAAACACGATTCCAGCCGTCTCAAAAATTCAGTCGAAGTTGCCGCCTAAATTTGGTCCTCACTTAAAATATCACATGCTACCTGTATTTTATTTTGTAAGTCTTAAAGGTTGACAGGTGGATCTGCATAAACTGCAATCTTCAAATATCTCCAAAAATAAAATCCAATGACATTTTTTAAATCTGGGGATGCCATTAGGACCAATCAAACGGTTCGGAAATATTTGATTTAAATGTTGTTTAAATATTGTTATTGTTTAAACAATAATGGATTTTGGTCTGATGTTCCATCTTGCTGGAAAAACATATGTTCTAGTGTTTCTAACGAAACATCATCCAACAGTCTTGAAAGTTTGTTGGTTAAGAAATTAAGATATCGTCTACCATCATAAAAGACCTAACCTATTAGCTTTCCACCAACCAATCCACACCATACATTAACAATTTTGAATGAATTTTCGAGATGACTGGGATCATGTTTTGAACATGATGGCAAAAACTTTGAATAATTCATACAATAAATGTATTTAATACATGTTATTTTTTATTATAATATTATCATTATAACTATTTTTTTGTACATTTAATTAATGCAGTTGACAAAATATCATACATTAAAAATAATGCTTGATTATTTTACACTTATTTTATTATTTCCAGTGGTTATGAATGAAAGTATCATTGAACACAATTTATGCATAAATCCAATTTTTGACTTACTCTAACTTGGTCAGTTTTTAAAATAGAAAAGAACTTTTAATACAAAAATTGTATTTAAAAAAATATTCTATCCAAATATGTAGAAATAAAATAATGTTTCCATTTAAAAAAATGTAAACCAAGTGTTAAAAATTTGAAATTTATCTGTTAATATGTATTTAAGTATTCCCTATCACCTCCCAAAAATCCCATTTCAATACAATACCCAACTGAGATATTCAGTGGTATGTAATATTGTGATCACTCTGTATATGTATTTGCATGTTTATACCTTAAGTCCAAATTAATTGATTTTCAGATAAGTTCTCGATTAAATAATACCATTTTTTATTTTTGTATAAATTAATGGTGATATTGATAATAGATTTTTGATAATATTGTTGATCTTGTTAATTTTATTGATATTTAAATTGATGTTTTTAAAAAATTACTCCATCTTTTTATGTGGGCTTAAAAAATATTTTAAATGTGAAAGATTAACTGTTTATATGTAATGAGAAAGTAATAAAAATAGTAAAAACTACAATGGCCTTGGATCTAAAAATTAATGAAAGGTTCAAAACTCTTTAAAAAATTCATAGTATTATTATCTGTGAGTATGAAACAAAGAATATGTTAATATTGCTTTAACAGTGGGACAAATCTGTCATTTAAATATGCTCTAATAAGATAGTTTGATGTGGAAAAGAGTTTTTATCACTAGAAATCTATTCCAAGTTCAAATCGCTAATCGTTCATGTTTAAAAATTTGAATCAACAGCATATAGAATATAAACTAAAATTTAACGTAATTATATAAACTAATATTTAATATACTTAATAAAAACAAGCTATGATAAATAACATGCATATTTTATAATTTTGTATTTATAATATCAATTTCAGCCCTAATAAGTTCGATTCAATACTAAAATTTGTTCATAATTAATTTTTTTTACGTGCTTTCAGGAACTTAATGTTTAAGTAATATGATTTTGCATGTATTGTTGTTGGCTATTGGATATTGTCAATATTTGAAGAAAAGGTAATAAATGTTTGTATTTATTCCCTTTCTTCTCAAATGTTATAAATTCTAAATTTTTTTTTCAAAAATAACTGGTTCAATTATTTCCCAACTCTAAAAATTGTCTTTTAAAAACTATTTTCTCTAAAATAAAACCTATTTAAATTAGTTGATGGTTTCTACAAATTTTAATTTAATACATGACGTATATTCTTATTTCTGTATTTATCTCAGAAGCATCATTTAGAGGATGCAGAGTGTGCATTCGCACCAACTTTTTTTAAAACATCTTCTTAGGCCTGCTAAAAATAAAATATAATAGCTGATTAATCTAAATGTTTCAAATCAAATATTGAGTGAGTATTTTCATTTCAAAAAATGTTAGATGGAGTCTGATAATTATGATTGATCAACAACCAAGAGAAAGTGGATAAAAAAACATACTAATTAGTGTCTATAATCTATACTACAAGAATGAGTTGAATACATAGACTGATAAGCAGAATAATGCTATTATTAAAAATGTATTGCGGGAGAGAATTCTGTGAAGCTACAGAACAATGGTGGCTGACCTTACATGGTGAGTAGTTGGCAGAGAAGCAGAAGAGGTATTTTTCTATAGGCCCCCTCCCTAATTTCTCAAAAAAAAAAAAAATGATTTTGGATTGTTAATGACTTTAAATGGTCTACAAACATTTTAGCACCAACATTAAAAGAAACTGGAATTATGCCCCTGATTTACCTTTCTGAATTTGAATTTAGATTAATTTTAAAGAGTTAATAATAATTTAGGAAATCAAAAAGTTATTATATTTCATAATTAATGTTACAATCAAAAGTTATGACGTGTTAAATAACCTGGAATTTCAAAGTACATATCAGTAAAATTACATTGAATGCAATCAATAACCTTAAATTTATTGAGGGCAATTGGTACATCAATTGTTACATTTTATAGCAGATAATATAATTGCATATAATGTAAATATTATATGCCTAAATAATTATAAGGTACTATCTTTACAAACTGAATTAAATTGAATATATAAAAACATAGATTTTATGTCTTACTACATAATCAACTTTTATTTTGCATTACTTTGTATATTTATACTTTAGTGAAATTTATTCTTATTAAGGTGAGGCTATGTACTGCACTTAACAAAAGATGTTTAGAAATTCTAAATAAAGAACCAAATTTAAGTTTAGATCAACTAAACTCCTTGTATCGAGGATATAATCATCGACATAATGTTGAAGAACCAGGACTATTTTATAAAATACTCGATGGGTAATTATTAAATAATGTATTTTTTTAATAACATTAGTTTTTAAAATATTTAATAATAAAATATTTTACAGGTATAAAAACTTTACATCTGAACACTTATCATCAAGAACAATAAGAGAATTGACTTACAATTTAGTTACATCTGATTGGTATGATGCTGAGCTCTTGGACAAATGCTTGAAGTATTTCATAAAAAATCACAAATATTTGTTAGCTGAAAATGTGGAAAAAATATTGACAGTATTTTTTTTGTATGGAGTTAATAGTGAAAAATTTATAGAATTTCTACCTTATGCAACTGAAATTATTAATAGGTAAAGTTAATCTTAAATAATTTATACTTTTATATTTTTTTTTTTTAATTTATTTTTTTTTTAGGGATAAGTTAAAAATGTCTGGTTTAAATTTTATGAGAGCTTCACTTGCTTTATGTTATTTTTATAGTCTATCTACTTCCATAAAAGATTATTTATTTAGTGTCGAATTTTTAGAGAAATTGGATGATGAATTAAATAACTGTTATGCAAAGGTGTTTAAATATTTATATTTAATAACTAAATTATCACTTTAATTAAAACAATTTTTTTTCATACAATATTTTCAGGCTACATATCCATTAAAAGTAAGGCAAATATTAATGATTTTAAATAGAACTGTATGTATTGATTATCCAGAATTTGATGTACCGTGGTTTCATACTAAGTATTGTGAAGAAATTCAATCATTGGGTACAAAATACTATATTACAATATTAATATGCAATTATTTTATTTATTTTATTATTTATTTTTTAGTTCCTAAACATACTGGTTCATTTTATTTGGACGTAGAAAAAAGAATAAACCAATTAATTAAGAACAAAGGTTATCTAAAAACAAACTCTTTTTCTCCTTATGGATACAAATTAGATTTTGAAATAATTCTAAATAACTCAAAACATTCTAAAAGAGAAAATAAAAATGAGAAGTAAGATTACATTTTTAACTATTCAAAATATTACTAAATATTTTTTTCTACTAGGTTAGTTTTGCTGCTTCTGAATGAAAAAGATTTACGAAAGACTGATAATGAAATGAGAGGTCTTTCTAGGTTGAAGCAAAGGCATTTGGAAATACTTGGATATAGAGTGATATGGATTAAAAAATCCATATGGAATTCCATGTTTATGACTGAGCCAGAAGCTAAATTATCTTATTTAAAGAGTTTAATTTGGAAAAAACCATGAAAATTTAATGTCCAAGATGTGTATATATATATTTTTTTTTTTTGAGTATTTGACTGTTATGATCATTATGGATAATAAATAAAATGTTTTCTTATCCGGATGCATTTAATGATGTAAAGCATCATATGTTTAGTTATAACTTATAAATAACTCTACAATCTTCAATTAGCAAAATACTAAAGTTCATAAAGGTCATTATTTCATTAGTTAAAAATTAACATATTTTGTATAAAACATTACAATTTTAGTGGAGAGTTTTGTTAGAAAAATGTATTTTTAATTTTTCATCCTATAACGGTTTACCTGTATAAATTATTATTATTTTGAAAAACTTAGATCGCTGATAACGAATAAGGCATTAAAAACTTGTTTTTTAGTCGAAAAACATAATGTAAACGAACTGCGCATAAATCGTAATTCATTTGAGTAGAACATATGGTTTTGGTTGGGTCTTGTTTTTATAAATACACCAATGTCAATGACCGATGTTATACTACAAATTTTCAGAAATTAATTATAATATTGATTTATAATTATCACAACTACTCACTTCCCGTTTTGAAGTTGAATTGTATTGCTAATGGAAATTAAATTTTTTTTCGAACGGGTATTTTTAATTCATTAATCCAAACTTATCTTTTAGATTCTGAACGAAGTGATGAATGTATTGATTTTACAATGATGTGTGTTTTTTTTTTTTTGTGTCTGTGTACATCATAACTAGTCGAAATAATGCTTCGATTTCAAACTTTGGGGGTGGTTTCCGATGTAAAATTGAAGATCCTTGGTGCGTTATAGAGGTCAAAAGTAAACATTTTCCAACAGTTTTCAAAAAAATCGAGAAAAACAAAATAAAAGACAGAAAAACGGGAATCTTTACGCAAAACCCGTTTTCGACCAAATCGATATTTTTATATGGTTGTAATTCAAAAACTAATCACTGCAAATACTTAAAATTTTCACCAAATGTTAATGTTAGTGATATCCATATACAGTTTAATTTTCAAAAATGTTCGACTTTTTTTGAGAATTTTTTTTTGAAGTGTCGGTAAAAAAATGTTGGACGACCAAAAAAACTTGAAAATATAATACACGGTTCCTTATGAGTTGTTCTTATTGTAGCTAAAAAAAATAAATATCGTAAGTCACAATTTTTTTTAATAAGCGCTTATA